ATACAAATGGAGATATTGGTCTATATTCACCCAGATCGTACCTTTTTGTCGCTGGAGACTTTAATTATCGGACATCGTTAACTCGCCCAGGGCCAAATGACTACAGGAAGTTCCCGCGACCGACGGAAGATATCAGCAGTCCTCATCACTACTCGCATTTATTAGCGAAAGATCAATTAACCCAAGAACTCCAGGAACAAAGGACGCTACAGCATTTATCTGAAGCGCCCATCAAATTTTTGCCCACGTATAAATTTTCCTCTCCAACCCATCAGCCAGCCCCTGGAGGATTATTTGAAACATGGACATGGGCGAAGAATCGCTGGCCGAGTTGGTGCGATCGAGTACTCTATCAAGACGTCCCGCCATCCACATCGGCGGGACAGGGTGGCATTGAAGTCCATCGATACGATGCTTTACCGATAATTCCAACATCAGACCACCGCCCTGTTGCACTTTCTGTCTCTGTCCCGCTCAGGCCTGCGTCGACTCCCGCGGTCTTCTTGCCTCCGTTTGAAATTGATCCTAACTGGGAAAGCAAAAGGCGCATTGCAAGACGCAAAGAGGTTGTTGTAGGTGTAGCAGCCTACCTAGCCCTCACACGTGAAGGCAATGTACTACTTCTGAGCACTGCTCTCGTTTTAACCCTGGTCTACTTCGCCCTGCAGTCATTTCGTGCAGGATGAACGTTCGTGGGGTACTGTTTTATCATGAAACCGATATGGCCCACTTGACCTCGAACAGAACGACAAATGATGTGATACCAGATCGCCTAAAGTTTTCAAGGGGAAGGCTCACATATATAATCAACATTATTAAGGTGCACACATCCTTCAGTTGCGAACTATAAAACGCCATGTGGATATCTATACCGTCCTTCACTCTACATTATTGCTAGGCATGTTCCAGCTAACACGGCATCGACGCCCACAAATTTCGAGGTGTCGAACGGGAGAGCAGCGGCCCATAAATGACAGTGTCCTCTTTTCATTGGCTGGGTTTTATCCACTGAGCGTGAAACTGAGGTGTCAAGATATCAATCGATTTCAGTTTATCTGGAAGATGCTCAATGCCACTCATAAACTCGAAACACGACGGATGGGGACATATTTACTCAAATCATCTCCGCTCACTACTGCCTGATTTTGATATCTTCCATCATGTCACGGACTTTTCATCCGACGAAATGATTCCTGGTGCAAATGGGAAATGCGCGAACGTCTCAAGACCCCTAGTCTTGGGACGATGTTCAGGGAACTTAGCTCCGCATTCGGGGCAAAACAAGAACTCGAGAGTATTCTAGAACTTTGATAGACCCGCTAGAACCTAGCTCATAATATAACGCTAGTCAGGGCGCCGATGTGACCTATAAACGACCCAGCCGTGTGGTCCAACTTTTTAAGGGTTGGGCAGTTCCAAAATCTTATCCATGGTCTGAAACTCGCTAACGATGTCTTCGGAGACCCCAATTTAACCGTAATGAGGGACGCACTTACAAATCCTTGTCAAATCCCCATCCATTCATAATCGAGAATACAAGCACTGGGAGGGAGACAACATAGGATTTAAACATCAAGCCCAAAAAAGTTGTTACTCTCTTGATGAGACCCATATTCTAGTAGCTAAATTTTCCTCACCCTGCCAGGCCACCCCAGAGAACTCGGACTGACGAATGCTAACCGCTGTTTCTCAACTACCGCCATTATGATATGTGCTCGGGCGGCTCCAACCTTATTAGGAGATGGTGGGATGGGTATAAAAGCTCCAAAAATAAATAAAGATAAAAAACCATACACTCTGAGGCGATTTATTAGGGTAGTTAGGGGTTTGGGGAGAGTTGAAATGGAGGTAGAAACATTCCAAACCCGGATACTGCTGGAAGCATGTGGATGCGAGTGCCTTGAACCTCTTCCCTTCCCTCCTCTTTGGCCAACTCAGCCATGTTTAACAGATGCAGTTATAGCAGGGATGGAGGAGATTGGAAAGGTGCAATCGGGATTCAGCTAGAGAGCTGATTTTACGCGCATAAAAGGGCATTTGACACTGAGAACTCACCTCTATGTTGTGTTTTATCCCATTAAATAGCTACTTATGTATGCCAGAGAGTGACTTCTTCATATCTCACTTCTTCCGTTCTTGTGATCTCAGGAGATGGATGAGGGGTGGATTGTTGTTAGCTATTTCTTCGAATATGCCCCAGATGCATCGCCCCACTATGATCAAGCTAGTCAAACGCATGGAAACTTTTCGAAAACCACTGGACCAACCGGACCAATCCTTTGGATCTCTGGGCGCCCAGGATAAGGGGATACTTGACACAAAAGGCCGACTAATCTAGGCGACTAATAAATTGGTTCTAGACTTTGTGCTGAAGGTCTTTGATGCATCTTTGAACCTCTTGACGACGTCTCATACGATGCAGTTCGCTAAACGAGCGCGGCTAGTATGACTGAGGCTCATGGATAACAACCACAATGTTGACCGCAAGAAAGCTGTCAGATGGGTGCCGTGCAGGTCTGTATCAGCCTGACTAGCTTTCTAAGCCCATATACATGTACAAGACATACTTAAACACACTCTTGGGTATGTCGAAATGCCCTCAGGCAACTTTTGATATGGCAGTGAGAGCAGACAATGTGAGATTGATACTAATAACTGAGAATGGGGAGGGTAGTCCACCGATACATCCCGTATATGTACGCATGCATTGCAGCTAGTTGCCTTGCCTTCCGAGGATTCCATCTACACCGCAAATCTGCGCAGGAACGCAGACTGGATTGTTGCGTTGTTCTTTCAGCACAAAAAATGTAACAAGATAAGGCAACATAGCGGCCTTCCGAATGAATACAGCGGGTTAGGCAACTGAATTAATTCGAATATAGACTGGGTTGCCAATGGTTGCTCTCATTGGTTTTCGCACATGCAACGTAATCATTCATTCCCCCCCCCCCCCTCTCTCTCTCTCTCAATGCGGCTGGAGACTCAACAGCTCCCGGGATTAAGTCAATCGCAGCAAAGAAAATGGTGCGGAAAGAAAGAAAGAAAGCCCTAAGCTCTACGCAATTAACCGAACATTATTTTGGGCATTAGCTTCGAGTCATGAACTCCTATTTGCCCACAGGCACTCCCGCGTCGAGCCGTTTGTATGATTTTCAGCCGGCGCGAGCTGCGGGCGCAATGCAGGAGATCAACACGATGGACGTATTCCACACTGCAGGGAGGCTCCGATGATGCACGAGAGAAATTTCAGGGTTTGCGTAGCAAGCGAAAAAAAAAAGAAGGGAAAAACAAGAAAAAGAAAAAGAAAAAAAGGAACCAAAAACAAAAGTCTGCCGGTGCTCAGGTAAAGCATGTATGTAACTGCAATTTCAAAATTCATGTTGATGTCGTCAATTGACGAGTGCTGTCTCCTGTCCTCTTTTGCTGGTGGCGTTAAACCCTGAGTTTGTGAGTTTCATGTTTAACTGGTAGTTAACTGAGCCTGGCTCCTAATGATTTTAACCATGCCATAACTCCTTTGCTATCGACTTAATATGCAAGCACGTAACATATAGATGTCATTGTCTCAAGAAAAAAATCCATGCCACAGTTAGCGCAGCCTATCGCATATCCGAAAAAAAAAAAAAAAAAAAAAAAAAAAAAAAAAAAAAGTCAGATGTAAAAAAGGGAAAGGTGGGCTATTCAGCGGGGCCGCAGCCAGCATCCATGGATGCAGCTTGATAGCACGAAACGGAACGCAGAGGCACTGACATATAAAACCAGGTTCAGCCAAAATATATGGTTTTCGGCAGACAGGAGACAGCATCTCACGAGTCACAGGTGCACGAACAATTACTTGTAATTCCGAAGATCAGTCAACCCTCAGAGAATGGTTACCATTAACTTGTTTGGGGCTGGCTGGGACGGTTCAACCAACGGGACAAAGGACGGCGACGGTTTATTTGCCTGTTTCAACCCAGTCTTGGGAATAAGTTTGCAAGAAGGCAAATTTGTGAGCAATCGGCTTGAATACCTTCTCATGGCCTCGAAAATCCAGGCCCGGCTGGACTTTTTGTTTGCCGGGCGATCCGCCCCGGCCATTGGGTCGTTTCTGAACATTTCTGTCCTCCTTGCTTGGGGCTGCTTCGTTTTGCTAATAAGGAGCATGGGAACGGCAAGTATCACGGTGCAATAACATGGAATAGGCTTAGGGGGGCACAAAATCGATTCCCCATGACTCTATGAGTCGGTCGGCCACTTAATTATCTAGTTTAGAATAATGGGCAATTGGAGATCGATCTTGGCCTTGAGAAGCGGCTGCTCAGGTTGACCTGGATTCAGCTCGACACAGCTCTTGTCAAAGTCTAAACGTCTCCAGTTAGGCACCGACAGGCATGTGTCAGGCAGGAAAAGTGACGACAATAATAATAATGTGGTGGGATCGTATCTATCCGACCCAAATGGCCAAACTGCGTGGATCTGGGGTAGCTAGCTTTAGATCAGGCTCAGAGGGACAGAAAAGAGTTTCATGTCAGATACGTAGATCATGCCTGAGGTCTGTTTGGATACTACGGATCCGGACAAATACAACCTTGGCCAGAAGATTGGCTGCTATAACTTTTGATATCGCTATATTTGTTGCCATCCCTTGCCGTTTAGGTGGTGGCTAATCAGCAACAAGGCGCAATGGCGAGGTTTCAAGGAGAAGCGCAGTTTTCCATAGTGAGCAGGAAGCTCGATCCGAACCAATGTGGGCAACGCTCTCAAAGAGGATTTAGAGCACGGGAAAAAAGATGATAGCGGAAGAAGAATAGAAGAGAGTTGTCTCACCGTCTATACAAACATCATATGGTCTGCTGATCTACCAGGAATTTACTGAGTACCACGCTTCGAGATCCAATAAACAATGAAAACTACACTAGTTGCTGCAGGCGTCAGTCCCGGCCGAATTATTATTATATTTGAGAGTATAGCAACTTTCCGCGTGGATTCATGACTCGCAGCCCGGTGGAAGGGACTGATTACGCTGTGTATTATTATCGTTAGCATTAATTAGACCACTGCACATACATGTATGTATGTATGTGCGCCCTCCAGTTATTATCAGCAAGCCAGTGAGTGCAGTGGGGGTGGGGTGGTGCGTTTGAAGGAACCAGCAATGGCCAGCAATAATGCCCTCAGTAAGATCGGAATTAAGGCGAAGTATCGACCTGATTATGGGTCCCTAAAAGACTGGGCTGGTTCCAACGCCGCTTCGTGCCTCCCTGAGTTCCCAAGCCCCCGAGAGCTAAGGGCTAAGGGGACCAGGGCGAGGGAAGACTCCATAATTATGTCCCAGAATAATCGGCAAATAAAAGTAAAAATAAAATAGAAATAAATAAACAATCTCGATTTCTGCCTCAACTCTCTATATAAAGCCGAAGCCCCCTTCCGCTCGGTTTTCCTGCAATTGCTTGCTTTGTTCTACTCTTTGACATAGGCTCTTTTCTCTTTTGCGCCGCCTCTCTTCCTTTTCTATATCTTTTGCCTACTACATACTTTCCTTTAATCCTTCTCCATCTTACCCTCTGTTCTCGCCCTAGTTGGCCCAATAAATACTTTTGCTTCACCAAACTCTTTCTAATTCGTCCACCTTCGACTCTCTATAAAAACTTACCTGCCTACTATTCAACCTAGCCGTCTAGTATCGCCACTTGTAATTGATTGATCGGCTTGAGATATATCCATCCCCTGCCGACCTCGTTCCAACAACTCAACTGCGACTGTCTCCGGCCGCTTCCAAACCTCAATTTCCACCTGAAGCCGAAAGTCTCACCTCTTTTCCAACAATGTACTCTTGCGCGAATTACTCCCGTGGCTGCCGGGGCCGCGTGAATACCCCAGGAGGGAAGTGCGCTACCTGTGTTGTATGTAGATGAAGGCAAAACTTGTCTCTTGAAAAGCTTGTATATACTGACTGTCCACCTTTAGGCATCAAATCTTCGTCGTCCAGCTTCGGCATCACCTTTCTCTCCTCTGCGCGGACAGGCAAACTACAGACGCGCCTGGGACATTGAGAAGCCCGCGGACCTCAATGATCAGGAGAGATTTTAAACGAATTCTTAAAAGAGAACTACATGCATATCAAGTTGGGCTCGATGTCTGACTTTTATGCCACCTTCCTATCTATCTCTCCTTCTATCGACACAACATAAACAACGCTCCCGACAAAAAACATCCAACGAAAATAGAAAAGAAAAGAAACTCCCAAAACAATACAGTCCAGGAGACTAATAAACAAAAAACTATGATCATACGGGAAAAGCCAAAATGAAGAAAGACAAAAAGAGACGTGGAACGTACAGGAATTTACAATCCGCAGGAACCTACTTTCCAGGTTATTTCTCTCCAAACTACGCATCCCCATTTCTATTCTACCTCCCAACCCCCTTCCCCTTCTGAAAATTATATTGTCATTCCGGTTTTGTATTCCGCAGACACTGTTCAGGGCAGGCCTATTTCCATCACTTGTTTTTTTTTTCTTTTTTAATCTATTCCACTCCCCATTGTACCACGCGTTGCTTTGTTCCCCCCCCCCGCCCTATTTGCAAATTCCCCTTTGTCTTTCCTATCTGTCCATTGGCACCCTCTCTCGTGGCTAATTTCCTTTGACTATCCGTACATCATAACCGTTTCTGTATGTTCATCGCATTTGGAGGTATTCTGCTCATTTTAGTCTACACTGACAAAAAATATTCAAGCGACGGCGTTAATCATTTTTTATTTTCCCCCCTTCAAGAGTCCTCTACCATTTTTGACTTCTGATGTAACTGTTTCATGTACGCTCGCTCGGTATACACTGCCACATTGATCTCTCATCGCCCTCTTTGCACTTTACAACTACTCCCCTGCTTGAACTGCACATATAATAATACTATTGCTCTTATTACAAGTTTATGCAAGAAAGGGATTATTATATTTTTAGTTTATTGTTCCCTGCATAATAACCCTTTTTTATATTTTAAAACGGCGTGCCTGGTAAAAAAGAAAAGAAAGAAAAAACGACAAAAGGGAAGAAAACCGACCCAACGATTGAGATGAGAAAAAGCAAAGAAAGCCACATCCCTGCGAAATCTAAAAACCTAAAGTTGCACGCTAATTCTAGTCTGAAACAGAAGGTTACTTTGAAGAATCTTTGTCACCTCGAGTGCAACACGCATATTGTTTTTCCTCGCTTTTTTTTTTTTTTTTTTTTTTTTTTTTTTTTTTTTCCGTTTCTTTGGAAGAATGAACAAATCAGGAAACTGGAAAATCTAGCCCTGACTCCATAAAATCAGATCAGGGGGTGGCAAAAAAAATTGACAAGAATAAACCTGCAACGGTCATTTTAACAAGGGAAATATATATATACTTATATGTATATGTTTAAAAAAAAAAAAAAAAAAAAAAAAAAAAAAAAAAAAAATCGAACAGCTCGCCTAGGATAAAACCCTTTTCTTTCCACAGTCGCGGTTTTATTCGGGCCTCTAGTTTGGCCCCTGAATCGCCAACCTCTCGCATCCTGGTGGCGCTGATGTTGGGCAGAAATGGCCATGGGCAAAGGAGCAGGGTTAGAAAAGGAGAACCGCAGTCGGACATTTTTTTTTTTTTTTTTTTTTTTTTTTTTTCTTTTTTTTTTTTTTTACTGTGAAAGAGAAAGGAGTAGTATGATACTACTTTCTCCTATAAATTTAAACCTGCACACCCCTTTCGAAGTCATCAAGACTACACATTGTTTACCATAATGACATATATGGCACTGCACATCATGCAAATCAAGGCCGGACAATCATCCTTCCCCTTAATACTCCAGCGCCGGAGCTTGGAGATCCCTTTCTGCACGAACCGCACCGTTCAAAAAGCTCCAGAGCAAAAGAGTGATCGAAAAAAAAGAAATTACATTATCTTTCCTTCGTTTTGATTTATTAATTTTGCTTTCTGGGTCAAAAGAAGAAAAAGCAAAGAAAGGGTTAAAAAAACAGTCCCCTCCGCAAATCGCTAAAGCGCCGTGGAGAACAAAACAACTCAGCAATTATGACATAGCCAAGATCAGATCTCTGCGCCACTTCTCTCAGCCCTCAAAGCCCATTTGCTGCGTTCCGCTTAAAGTGGGTTTTTCTTTTTTAAACAAAAGAGTCCCTGCTAGCGTGGTATGCAAGATGACCTGACTGACAGGCCAAAATACCCCACTAACCTTTCTGCTACCCGCTCAGAAACCATCCCTCCAGCTTAAACTCCTCATGCCCCCCCCACCAATCGCCCCTTTCCAACGTTGACGTCAGGCTGGCCATGTGGTCGGGTAGTGAAAGGACGACAGGCCCAAGGGGGTGTGGGAGTGGATGATTGGCACCGGATTAGCCATGGCGCAGGTGTGCCTGCTCCTGAGCTCTCTTTCTTGGTGTGACCAGGGATTTAGAATAGGACCGCCAAAAGGGGAAGAGGGGAAAAGAGGGAAGGAAGGGAGGGAGCGGAGCGGGATGGGCCATGGTTAGTTAGGGGAGTACCCGAGCTTTTTGAGCTGGGAGTCGGTTGACAGAAACCTTGATACAGAGCTCCCCCATCTTGGAAAAAAGGGGTGGATCAGGGGGGGGACATTACTGTTGGACAACCGTCGAAAAACGATGGAAGAAGGCAGATAGGAAGTGCTGACAGGGGAGGGGTCAGCAAGCGCTTATGACATCATAAGGAGTCGTGATCGATTTGATCCATCTGCGCGCTGTTGGCGTGCTTTTTCTTTTTTTTTTCTTTTTTTCTTTCCTTTTTCCCTTTTTTGCTTCTTCGAATTCCCGGCTCGCCCTTCCTCTCCTCCAGCCTCACTGACCAGTACAAAGTAGTGACTATTTGACTGTGTTGGCTGATTCCCCCACCAGTCTGGTTCACCCAGTAGTGTGGTTTCAGATTTACTCCACTGTATAATTTAGCGTTGGCGTCTCGTTAGAGCGTACACTAAAGCCCAGTGTGTCGATTTTGCTTTTCTTTTTTCATTTTTGTTTAATCTGACCGTTGAGATCCTGAGGTTGGTGAGTGCTCTGTGCAAACTCTTGTCTCGAGTGTAAGCATGCTCTCCCTGCATCATAAGTACCCAAACTTCCCTCTTGGGAATCAAATGAAAAAGCATCTGTGTATGTATAAGGAAAAAAATGTTAGATGGTCTGATCAAATCTGAAACTCCCTTTTCAGCTCCAGATTAGTTCTGTCCATCCTATCCTCTATCATGAATTATGGACCACTTACTTCCATACCCACAGAACAAGTGCGCCTTACGGCTATCTTTCCACGAGAGGCCACACGGAGAAATAAGAATGGGATACCTATGATGTCAAGAACAAGCGCCATGAGCTCAAGCTAAAATGTTTGGTGGGAATTTGAGATGGAGACTGCTCTTCTCGTATGTGCTCTAGTAAATCCGTTCTTGTTATTTTGCCATCATTACCATTCGGTCCGCAAGCCCCTTGCCCTAACTAGTCATATCCAGTCAGAGTCTTAATAATGAACAGACAGTGGCATACCGGAGTTGCTTGCTTGATACACAGCCTTTGTATGCAGCGAGACTGGCTGCGGACGTGTGAGATCTCACCCGCCAAGCCTGTTTCAATGACAATTAGGTACAGGAGGAGCCCATGTGACCACCACCAAGTCAACTTTTCCATGTGCGGATGCGGATGCGGATGCGGATTACATCGCCATGCATTCATTACCACTGAATATGAGAGACAAAGGCAGGCCTCCTCGGGGCAACAGTATTGGCGACTGGCTGTTGACTTTTTTTGTCTCAAAAGCTGAGCCCCATATCTCGGCAGGCTAGAGCAACTGTGCGCGCAGAGAAACCCAAACCCGGGCTACATGTAAGGAATACGACCGCTAGCCCAAGCCGGGAATAACAGCGATGAAGCTGTCACTGCCTGTCAGATATGTTCCGAGGTCACAACCGGCCACGTGCCATAGATGTGGTGTTCAGATATGAAATCTAAAAGGACGCATTTCGACGATACGGCGATGAATTGCATCCAGAGAGCTTCAGATCGCACCCAGCCATTATTTCCTTAACGCTGTGGCCACTCTTCACGGCAATACATCCTGGAATTCTTCTCCCTTCCCTTAGAAGAACCTATCCTGTTTCTACCCCTGGTTTTCTCCATCTTGCTCAGAGAGTAGATAAACGAAAAATCGTGAAAGTTATAATTTCTTCACGTCAGTTTTCCAGCGACTTACCGCTGCAAATGTTCTTACAGCGGTCTATCTCTTTATGCTAGGTCTTCACAGTTTAACGTCCATTCTCCGAGTTGCGGTAGCATGAGCTTTAGATGCTGGACTTTTCGAACTATCATGTTGAAAATTCAACTTCTGCGTGCTGTTCCCAGCCAGTCAGGAAGGCTTATGGAGGGGCAAATGAACGGTCAGTCACTCTTATGAACCATCTACGTCATTGAGCGGTGAGAAAGACCGCCACCATCTGGTTCGCGTGAGCTCTAAATGAAGTGCTAGAAGGCGCCAAGGGAGCCCAATAATGGTTAACTATCCATTATTGCAACAACTTGAAATAGTTAATGGGGGTGGCTTCCAAAATAACCTTCCCCCTTGGTTATGCACGAATTGCATTACACATATTAGCTGGGCATACCCACGGCACATTCTTCGTCTTCCTCCTTTTCCTTTTCCTGGGCCTTCCTTCTCTCCTGCAAAAGCAGTGTTATTCTTCAGGTTTACCTAAAGCTGTTCCTACCTATCCTCTTGAACCAGCTTGTTGAGATAGCCCAGAAACGCAACATTACCTCCAGTGCTTGCTACCAGCAAATGTTCCTATAAGGAAAATTCAGGACGGAACAAATTCGGCTTTTCGAGAGATATGCCGAGCATGAATGCAAAATTTCCACCGCTGGGACTAGCCTTGTGTTCTCTGGCCGTTGCCATGGTCGAACTTCGGTAGCCATGGCTGGTCTGGTTGTTTTTTGTTTCACTCCTTCCTTGGCTACAGTTGACTTCAGCAGGTACTCGGGATATATTCAGCAATGAGCGCAGCTCAACATTATCATTATCAACTTCCATCATTGCGTGAGACAAAGGCCTGGACTAGAAGACCATCGCCAATTTCGCTTGAAAGCTTAGCTACCAAGCAAGAAAAAAAGAAAAAAAGAAAAAAAAATGCGCCACTCGCAGGGGCTCTCCTCGAACCATGCTAGCATCACTCGCAGTCCCAGAGTCAGTTCTCACCGAGAATTTTATTCTCTGGATTGATTGATAAGTTGGAAGTTCAGATGCTTTTTTGAGCCTCCTCCGCTTTTATCACTCGGAGGGCCCCTGGTTCATTTCTATCCTCGTCATTTCTCGTCTTGATTTGACTCGGTTGAATGAGACACAATGATGGGGAGTACTATATAGACGGCAACGTTTCCGTGGTGCGCAGATGATGATGCTGCTATATGGTTCCATTAGCTTAATGTCAGAACAAGATTGTTGATAACTCGAAGTTATATCACGGGAAAACACGGGAAAAGAAAGAAAGGAATACACAATTATCTGCACTGTTCGGGTCTTACATAGTAAGTATTAATCGCTAACCTCTTCTCTCCTCGACGTGGCGGAGTCCCTCTCTTCCCCCTAGTTGATACTTGTAGTGGGTTTTTAACTTTCTCTCTCGTGAAAGCGGTATGCAGCTTCTCTTCAGTGTAATCCCTGCTGGGAGCCCGGAATGAAGTACGCGTGTTTATTCCCATGCGGCGATATCACCCCGATGCAATCGTATGCTTCTACACCTGTCGCCCAATCTTGCTTATATTCTTCATGCAATGTTTGGGGATAGAAAAGCCAGCATGAATTGGTAGGGCATATAAGAAAGGCGACAACAAGGTAACACTGAGGATAAGGTGAATGATAAGATAATGATAAAACAGTTGGTTTTGTTTTATTGATGTATACATATATACGTATATATGTACTTATGAAAACTTGGAGACGGGACGGGCCTGGAATTCTGGGAATAGCTGGGGAAATTTTAACACAAGATATATTTAATCTATATAGGTCAAGCCAGTTGATAGATTTTGAGTTATTACTAGATATATATTCACAAGCATTTTAATTGCACAGAAGCCGCTGAATGCTCACATTCCCAGTGTCTAACTTGTTTATTTGCAGATGTGCTCGCACTCGGTACTGTGGCTGCCCGTAGCGGCCATCCCCACTGTGTTTACAGCTTTCAATCCTCCAACCCCCCTTACCCCGCCACAGGATGTAGTATTCCTGACTCTCATTAGTGGGAATATGCATGATTGCGTCAGAGCCTGAACGTTCACCACCGCCGGTTTAGTTGTATTTATGCATGATATCATCCTCCGCAACTCTCAAGAAAGGCAGAAAGGAGGGGTAGTTGTATTTCCAACGTGGGGTTTGGAAAGTTGGCGGGGTAGCGGACAATAAATCATAAAATCATAAATCCGTCCAACAAGAATTCTGCCGAAGTTTGACTGTTGCACTCTTCAATCACAGACGAGGATATTGACAGTTATCTGACCTCATCATCCCACTTTTCTTTTTCCAGGCTGACTGTAACAGTTTACGGCTTGATTTTAATTCGTCATGTTTTTTAAGATTTTCGCCGTCTGGAACCCGGACAAGTACTTTACTTGTTAGCGCTTCTTGGGTAGATCTATTTGTGGAATGCCTCAGAATCTCACGGTAGCTCCTCATACGCCTAAGGTGTTCAAGGTTATCCGTTGGATTAAGTAGTAATGTCAGAATGTCTTTCAATCACCCTATCCCTAAGCATAGCCTATGCTCTGCTGCATGGATGCCCAATATATCTCCAATATTCTACTAAGAGGAAGGGGAAGTCTTATTGGTTTTTGGCAATGATGCCGTCATAAGATCGTGAGATTTCCAGCACACGTTGAAGCATGGGCATGTCTACCACGTCCCCCCAAGGAGCTAAGAGTTGAACAAGTATGCAGTCTAAATCAAGATTTCCTGATTTTCCCACTTCGTCATTCCCAGGCTCGCCTTTATGAGCTGGGGAATTTATTTGTTGTGGTTCTCCATTCAAGGGCTAGTTACCGTTAGTTCATCTAGAAGTATATATTTTCCCACTCATTTGACGCGAATACTGCTTCGAGGTGGCGATGGAGGAAGGAGTAGAAATTTCCATATTAAGCCATAACTTGAAAATTGCATGAAGACAATCCATCACAGGATGTTAGAAGACTCACAGGGTTCGGTCTGGTTAAATTGTAGGCAGAAATTCGATGAGAGAATGTACAGATTTGACCATAATTCAGCTATGCAAGATAAAAAAAATCAATAGCTATATCTAACGGCGGCAAGGGTAACACATGTCCTATAAGATCCTAAGTGTCGGAGTTGGTGGTGTAGATACCGAGATATCTAAAGCATCTAGGTTGGATTGAGAAGTAGAAGGCTAGAGGTGAATTAGAAACTAATGATTGACGTTAGACGATTGTCTTCCAGAACCTCATAACAGTTGCAGCACCTGGCTTTCTGGTTAGTAGGAATAGTTGACGCCAGGTAATCCGCACAAGGTTCTTTAATGTTCATTCCGTATATTACTATATTTGATTCCTCTGAAGACCTTTTTGTGTCGATTTAAACGTTTGCGGGTGGATGGGAGAGGGTCACGTGGCAATGCGGCTTGCAACCTTATCTCAACATCCTGTCTCTATCCCCAGCCAAAGCTTCATCTGTAAAACACAGCAACAGTTCCATCGAAGGCGCTCTAATTGCTTTGTTAGTATGGATTACTGTACAATATGAATTATCTCGGGGTGTTTCGACCTACCCGATTATCTGGTGTCTACCTCCAGGTATATGCCAGACCTGAAGCTGATGAACACCGAACTTGATGCGCTTTCATGATCCCTGGTTCAATGAGAACTGGGCTCTTTGGCGGGCTATCCCCTTTTTATGGCAGCCAAATACTCATCTGGTCATTCTTACATGTATGGACCGGAACCCGCCCCTCTCGAAGGGAAATGGCTACCTACCGCCAGAGGACGTACTTTCCTAGTCAGCGGCCGAAGTTGCCAGAAATGCGCTCAGCATCAAACTTTTAGACTACATTGTGCTTTGAGTCTGTTGTTTTGTTTAAGATAATATCCGTTTTCATCATAATTCTATCCATCGTTCGTGATACTGGTTTTAGCAGCAGCACAACAGCAATAGTATTCTACATCCAGCTTTCATATCCAATTTCAGTTATCGAGTATGGTTTCAAGAGCATCAAGCGCTACAGTTAACCCCCTGAAGAGACCCAAATCCACTTCTTCTGTTAAGTCTTGCCGTCACATCCCCACTGTCCCAGAACTTATAAATTCTCAGGCTGTGCATTACCATGCAATGGCTGCAGCATCAATTGCCATGCAGCGTTCCAACCAACGAAGCTCTATGGATGTAAGAGGACATTGCAACACATCACATAGTGGGGATAGCGAAGCGGACGCGTTCTCCTTTCACTCCTCTAGAGCTCGAAGTATCCGTTTCATACCTGGCGATGACAATGGTGCTCGGAGTCTACAACCGCCCATCCTGTGCCCAGGTTCTATAGCTTCCCCAAGTAGCGATGGGACTGCCAGAAATGATCTCGCATTCAATCCTGTGGCTGAAGAATTCAACCCGAAAACGAGTGAGTTGTTTGGAATTGACAACAGCATCCCGTCAGCGCCATCATCCTATCGTAAACTCCGCAAAGCCAAATCTATGTTCTCAACCCGCAAGCGCGCGATGAAGTCGTCAGATTCATCCTATTCACCTTTTAGATCCAATACCTACTCAGATAGCTCTGAAATGGGCCACCTTTCTCAAGCGACACTGCGTCGATCAAAGTCTTTCTTTGGCGCAGAGATCACCCGGCAGCCAGATGATGTGAAGCGGACACAAAGCCAGAACGCAGCAATTCAGTTAGCCCGTGAACAATATCTACAGGAACTACAGCACCCGAAGCAAAACTATGGGTCAGAATCTATTCTTAGCGGGAGAGGACGACACCAACCAAGGCCCTTTAGAAAATCTCTTCGGTCTTCTAGTGGTGGGGATGTCGAAAATGGAATCCCAGATGCTATGAAACCCGGCGTAATTCACACCAGTAAAAACCTTCGAAGCTCAAAGTCAAGAATCTTTTCGGCGTCAATCAAAAATGGCCTAAAGAGGATATTTGGACGAGGTTCGGTCGCGCAAGATGAAAAAAAAGTATCCACTGCGCAGCGCACGCATCGATTAGGATTCAGTGACTATGTCAGTTCAGAATCGACAGGTATATTTCAGTCTCCGAATCCGTTGTGGTTTTTATTGAAACATACTAACTCCTACAGGACTAACGAGCATTGGCAACCGGCCAGCGAGTATCAGGACGATGAGAAGCTCGGATAGTTTCGGTACATTCAGTTCCCGCGCAACGAGTTGGGCAGATTCAACCGCTACCACTACTACGGCTGCTAGAGATACTGTATCTGAGAGAAATGGACTTTCTATCATCCAAGAAAATGGTGGCCCACTCGAGCCCATCCCTTCCCGATCGTCTTTTCATTATAACGATGGGTACTCCGTCTTCCGAAAGCCTTTATATCCAGGGCGCAGTGGTAATAATGCTTCTGATGCCGTGGACAGCCAGCGGGTATACTCCGCTCTCTTGAGACATATTGATGGGTCCCACCACCCCGATGAAGGTGATATAACTCCAAGAGCAGGAACTGTCCGAGGATCGCTATATAGCCCTTCATCGTCAGTATACTCAAACCACACCGCCAAGAGCATTCACCATGTACCTAGCGAGGCGTCAATGAGAACCATCAGAGCGTTGCCTCCGGTGCGGGGCCAATCTCCAGGTTCACAAAGCCAGATTTCGGTAGGCTCGAACTATCGCAGAGAAGCAGCTGCTATTATACCTCAAGAAATTGCTCAGCGTAACGAAAACATGACTCGCTATCGCTCAATGCAGTCGCTTCATCGGTCAAGATCGTCCCTTTGTCAACCTAGACGTCATATGCGATCCGAGATTCTGAACCCGTTTGTCCCGCCTCGATTTTCCTCCTACGAACGAACAACGGGCTCCGACGATGACACTGGAAGTGTGATCGTATCGCGGCCCGATGTTATTGACCGATCTCCTGTCTCCCCAAGTGTGTATTCGCGGACGACAAGCGGGGATAGTCCGGATCGTCAGGGAAGCAGGAGAGATTTGAGTTTGTCAGAAGCTAGCGATGAGCGAGGTACGGTTACTATCCTTGCTAGCGAGAGACTGCCATACAAACCAAAAGATACTGGCGGTTATTCGTGTAGCAACAGCCAAATTAAGGGTAGTGCCGAGTGGAAATCGTGGATGAACTCGCAAATGGACCTTTTTGATACTACTCCTGAGAGCTATGCAATGGCTCAGAATCCCAAATTTCCCAATAGTCATTACCGGGAAAGGACGGAAATTCATGACGAGTCGAAGGATGAAATACACAAGAAGTCGTTCACCACGTCCCAAACAAGCGAATATTCTACTGTAGAACCTATTCAAGAACCAGTATCGTTTGATGTCGACCAAAGACCACCGCTAGTGGAATTAAAACCAATTACGAAAAATAACTTTTCGCGGCCTCTCTGCCTGTCTTCTGATATACCTATCTCCATTTCTCGCCCTGTTGTTCAGAAGCCATCGGTAGTTACCAGATCGGAATCTCCCCATAGTGTTCATTTAACCGACGTTAATCTTGGGAGATCCACGCCAACAGACTCTATTCTTCCGAGAAGTGCATCGAGAAGTCCCAGTGCCTCTGCCTCTCCAAAGTTACTGTATGAGAAGTCCAGGTGCCTGGAACTTTCTACTTCGCCAGTTACACCTACAAGAGCTTCGAAAGCTGTCCATAGTACTATCTCTCTTTGCAATCACAGTGAAAATGATAGCCCAAGCAGACGAGTAAGCGACCCTAGAAAATTAGCCCCAACGGCCAATTTTAGCTCTGTTCGCAACAGGAGAGACAATGGCCGAGTCACAAATGAAAACTCAAGGGGAGGCAGAGTCACTACGAAGGGCGACCTGCCGGCCTTAGGAGATATACACTCGACAATTAGCAGCAAACGCATGGTGGACATATTCTTGAGTCAGAGACGGCGTCAAATGGGTGGAACGGAGAAAGGTATGGAGTACGCTTTTATCTAGCCCTACTCTACCTTCGCAACTCCATACCAGCTTATGTCACTCCTTCTACTCGGTTAACGGGGGACTTATGAATTGGAATAGTTTTTACGCCTCATTTGGAACGTACACTACTACCCCATTCATACCTGTCTCTCTTATTCTGTTTACACCTTTTGCTATTTGGATATTCCTCGTTCGTAGTATAAAGGGATACTATGCGCTTCTTTCTTATTCATTCTGTCTCTCCTTCAAAACCTCTTGGTGGTTTCTCACTATGTTCCTGCCAGTATACCTGTTAAACCTAATTAAAGTATTTCAGTTACCGTATTTCCCTTTGTTGAGAGTATATCAACGATTTTTTTTTTTTTTTTTTCGGTTTTTGCCACGGGGGTGGGGCGGTTAATCGATTCGCAGCGCCAACTCGTTCCGTAATCAGTTTACAAATGCGTCGCTATTTTCCTAATTTTCATCATGCACCTACTTATATTTGACGTCACTTTTTCACGGCGGAAACTCAAACTTTCTCCAAAACCGCTTTTTGGGAATCTTGGAACCCCCCAAAATTTCTCCCGCTCTCGTCCCAGAGATCAGATGGGAGCGGAAACCCAAATATCCACTTTATTCTTTATAGTTTTCCAGTTACTTTTCTATGCAAAGCGTATAGCATTCCCGATTCGTTGGCTATGAATGACTTACCGCGATATGTATTGGGAGCCATCGTGATATGATTAATGATTGATATGTTGCTATAAGGCGAGCTTGTAATACCAACAACACCAGTGCCTGTTGCAATCAGTGCCCAACAGTGCGGTCCCCAAACAGGTATTGTTCTGGGATATGTTCTTGCCAGCGGGGCGGAATTCCGCTGCGTATCACCGCCTGTCTTTCTGTTGGACGCGCGCAGAAGATACTTTCAAGAAGGTTCACTCTCTGCCAGTTGCCCGCTGGAAGCTATGAGCCTAATAAAAACGGCAAAACCTTACCCAAAAAAAGGGTTTCACCATATCTGCTACACTTCTCATAAGTGAACTTTATTCAATAGGACGTTAAATTATGGTCTGGATTTTATCCTCCATGCCTTGGACTACCTTATTGCTGCGTGTCTCTCTTTCCTTCCTTCCTTCGATGTTTCTTTCACCTATTTCCTCACTACGCCTCAAATACCTTTCTATCAAGTACGATCATCTTGATATTGCTCAAGAAAGCTCTTTCTATTCACTATAATCCAATACACATCTCGAGTGCTCTTTAGGCGCATAGTTGTATCTACCTGTTCGTTATTTCTTTCCTCAAAAGAAGCCCTGGTCACGAGCTAGAAACTCGCGCCTACCTCAACCATTATTTTACGAGAAAAGCACAGGATAAGAGAGAGACTAAAAGGGAAGGCTCTCATCTCAAACCTGTCCAACCATATCATCACCGGTAAGTCCTTCCAGTCTTACAGCTAGCCAGGGTGGGAATAACAGAATCGCAAGCATAGGAAGGTGCAACCATGTGGCTTATGATATGGCCCATCGCGTTCTGGGCAGCTGCCGTCATGCTTGCCAGCTCACTATTTTATATCCAATACAGAGTTAAATGGCTCAGGACTGAGGCTATTTTGAGCATCATCTTTGTTCTTCTGAACTTCACTGTAATTGTGTTTCTTGGCTACCAATGGGTCTCCTATGAGCTTGACTTTGATGAACTCAACAGACGACACCCGCATATCATCAATACTCAGTGCATTATTTCACACGTCATATTTTTCTCATCGTTTGGAATTTCAGTCATCGGTTGCGCCAGCTACTTCTTTGTGAAAAGACTCCTCCTCCCCAGCCGCAAACATCACATCAACAATAGTAAAATCCAAATGCTCCTATGTGCCTTTGCTATGGGCAGTGCTTGGATGGTCACATACCCTTCATCACAAGCAAAAGACAGCCAAGATGAATTCAGAGAATTGCTTGAGAGCGGAAAACACGAGGAATTGCGGTCCAAGCTCCGTGGCCTCGCTAACCTCCATATTGGCCTTGAAGTATTCGCATGGCCTATGGTTTATGCAGGCCTGTACGCGTTTGCCAGAGCGTTACGCTCAATAAAGTCCCGTGCATCGGACTGCTTTTTTAAAGCCTCCCTCCTCCGGCACGGAATTTCCACTCCACCTTATTCTCCCCGCAGACCTTACGAGGCAGAATACGGCGATCTCCAAGCTGAATTCTTCGGCAACAGCGCTCTTGTCCAGCTAAAATCGTTTGACCAGCATCCTATGGTTCGTCCATTGGCAAATGCTACACGCCATCCGCCAAGAAACAGGCTAGTATCTCTAGCAGAAATACCAGATTTGAGACTCCCTCCTCCAGCATTCCTGGGCGATCAGAGTTTTTCTCCAGGGCTAGTCTCAATAGACACCTTCGTCCTAGATGTGCCGTGGACAACCCCATGTTCGAGATTGAGTCACTGTTCGATTACATAGACGGGCACAGGCAGCACGTTGGTATGTCATAAAGTGATGATTAAATGAGGATGTCCGCTAACATTTGTTCTACGGTACATTAGGATTTAGCAGATTTGCGATGACATCTCAGTCATGATTTCATCACCTGCAAAAACACCTTGTTGTGCTGGCCTTGAAACGTTTTAGTAACTTGAATGCATGCTTCTGATCCCACGGCGGTAGCAGCTTCTCTGTTAGGCTGAGTTTGACGGGGTCGGTTTACCAGCTGGTGACGCTCACCCCCCGAGCTATCGAGCAATCGAGCAGGGGTAAGCCGATTGAGAACGTATAACTTGTGCTTTGAAGTTATGAAGCAATCGAACAGGAGTATCAGCACAAGGAGTCCAATGATTCAGGTCGCTCGTATGTGAGGTAGATCAAATATTGTTTTCTCTTGCACGTCAAGTTGTACCGTTTTTGATCCAGCCCGGAAACAACGCCTCTACTATATCGCCTGAGAGCCCAATTCAAACGAGAAAAGACCCGCCTGTTGAACAGATTGCTCAAACTGTGCGGATGGCCATAATTTCACAGAACCCATCGACAGGAGTGTGATCATATAAAATATGAGCACTACATAGGGTTGGGACTGCCACGTGAAATATAGCCCTGTCAGAATGTCAGTCCAACTGCCCAGACATAATCAATTAGGCAGTTAATTAGGGCCTTGGGAAGGTTAGTTGGGCGTCCGAGATCGATTCATGAACTGCTTGATTTGTTCATGATAGCCAGATCTGGGCAAAGTGCCTCACTCGACTTCAACGCTGGTAAAGCAGGTTGCTGCTTATGTCCATCTGACGCGGACAGACCCCTAGGCCTCTGTGTTCGCTACAGCAGAAAATGTCCTGGCCGGGGTAGGAGAGCGCCAGAATGAAAATCCCGATCTAATCGCAGTACACTTGCAATGGACAAGGAGGTACAGCAAGGGCTTACTGGGCTCATCGTATATGGGCGAATGTCGAAACCCGCTACAAATTAGGTAGTGTGGTGGATGAGCTCTTTCATGGACATGAGGACTAAAGATTGAGTCTACTTGAGCTTATCATATATTATTGTTGTTGTGTGTTTTGGGAATAAGTTGTTTGGCTGGATGAAGTACTGATCTATTTTTTTCGGGAGATTGTGTTTTTAACACTGCATTTTCTCTGTTACTATATATACATCTCAATGTCCATGCGTATCTTTTGCTATCTACGTATTATCGACTCCTAGTGGTAGCGGAGACACATCTCCCTCTTGAGCTTAAGCCCACCTCGCCATTCATCGCGTGTACCATGGCTGCTCTCTACTTGTTCGCTGAGTTGAGCCTTCGTTTCCTGTTTCTGGTTTTAATAGAAAAAAATGAAAGAGAAAAGGGGCTATAATAAGCTTCCCGAAGAGGCTCAACGGCCGTCGGCGTCTCCACTCAGCTCTGTGATGAGCTGACACTCCAAAATCTTGTGCTTATCATCCATATGTTGGGAAAATACCAGGAGGAACGGAAATCGACATTTCGACCCCGCCCGGATCGGTAGGCGGCTGGCGTGTCAGGACGGAAGGACGGAAGGGTGAAAACGGGTGTAAGAAGAGAGGATGGCTGTGATCATCTCAGGTTTTTTCAAGGAATTTGAGAGTGAAGGTTTATAGTTGATTAATTTATTATCAACAAGTATACTTATCCTTCATATCTTATCCTATACTCGATTTTTTCAATCAAGTCTCTGCCTTCTCCTCTCCGCGTATTTCATCTGCCCTTTCCCATACGCGCATCATGCTTGCCATGAGTTGAGCATGATATATAGGCTTTAGAGTTGACAAATGAAGGTGTGGTTGAGAATCTATGTGTATATTGTAAACCAGTTATGACTTGGAAATAAGAGATAGTAACCTGTGTGTGTATATTATCATCAAAATACAAAAATTAAATCCTTCTAAGGCTACTTAATACTAGCTATTAAAATATTGGAACGTTAAATTCCTTTCCATCCCCTCTTGCTCTTTTTGAACGCATGTACAGTGCTCCGCAAAGTAAGTACATACATGTGCAATTAGGAATCTGAACCCAGTTAATTAGGAAATGTGAGAAATATCTTCAATGGAAGGAAGAAAAAGAGAAAGAGAAATCTCGATCAACCATATCAATTTTAAACACAAGGGGGAAAAAAGAATATATGGAACGGAGGAAGAAAAGATATACGATAAGGATAAATAAGCCCAGGTGGTGTTCCAACGCGGTAGGGAAAAATGATATATCATATGAAAAGCGATATATAAAAAGACCCAAGGAAAGAGAAAGGAAAAAAAGAAAGGGAAGGGAAGAGGAGAGAGAAGAAGTCAAAGGTAAATTAGATGGAACAAAGGAACCTGAACCTGAACGCGACCAAAACTAAAGATTAGAAATATAAATTTTCAAGTTAGGCTTTTTTATCTTTTAAATTTTAAAACGCGAGAGAGAGATAATAAGAGAGAAGGGCAGATGGACGGTGGTGTGTCTTGTTTTTGCGTGTCGGTTTTCCAGCGTTAAATCATCCAAACCCCCGCTTCCCTCTCCGCTTCCTTTCTTTCCCATTCCCCCCCTGTTCCCTCATCGAAAAACCCACCCTTCATCACTCGCAATAGTTCGCCGGAAAACTCCCCTTTACCCCCCTAAGCTCCCCTTCCCACCAATCATCCGTACTCTCCGTCTTCTTAAGCACACGTATGCGATCACCTTCTCGAAACGCTAGATCACCAGCTCCCTGGCCAGGGAAATCGTAGAGGGCTGTCACGAAGACGGCATGGCTGGACGCTGCGCGCGGAGGTGGGGGTGGAGGCTTCTTTTTCGCTGCCGCGGCGGCTACGTGTGTTGTCATGCCTAGCGGTGTTCCAGTGTGTTGGACGGACGATGGCTGTCGCTCGCGGCTGAAGTAGTCCATGCGTGGGCCGGCGGGGGAGTATCCGGTTGGGGTTATGCTGGGAGCTGCGGGGATGGAGGAGTAATCTGAGATTTCTGGGGAGTATCTTGGTTTCGTGGAGGAAGGGTATGTTGTATGATTATGGGGGGGCGAGTGGCCGTTGGGCCCGCCGCCGTTTGGTCGAGGTTTCGATTCGAAGACGGGGGATGGGGCGCGGAGGTTGCGGATTGGGGAGACGGATGGTTTGCGCACGGTTGATTGGTTGCTGCTGGTGCGACGGGCGCCTAGGCCGTTTGGGAAGGAGCCGTTTTTGTGTTCGTCGGATGTTCTGGGTTGGCGGGAGGTTCTGCGGTGGGAGAGACAGGTTATGGTTTCTACTTCCCGTTGGGCGGGGGCGATATCTCGTTCCCAGGTTTGAATTACCAGGTCCATTGCAGGGGGCGGGGAAGGGAAATTTTCTTGTTCGCAGTAGTTGTGGAGGGTCGTGTAGTAGAGTGCGAGAAGAGTGTTTTGGATATCGATTTGTGCAGCTAGTAGATGGGGGAGGATGGAGAATGTGGCCGTGATTAACCGCGGGAGATGGGCGCGAAGATGGTCGTCTGCAGCGCTATATTCCTGTTTTGATATTTAGTACTCCATAAGTTCTGGAAATGCATGCTTCAAGAAGGGTTATAGCGGTACGGACATCTTTTGCTCTGCTCAAGTCCATCTCAGCCTTCGCCAATGCTGCATTATCTCGATCGGACCGCTTCGTCTTCTTCCGTGATGTGTCCACTCGGTTTTGATATCGCTCAAAATCCAGCTAGAAATATAAATATGTTTAGTATGAGAGTACGATGGATATGTTAATTAATATTGGCGGATTGTATATATAGTTAGTATGCACGGCACACACCTTCTTATCATCCCTCTTTTTAATGATCTTTTTAAACGGCTGTAGGTAGTCCTTTGCGTCCATTGCGGGCCTGATCATTCTCTCATCCACGCTGTTGATCTCCGTCAGAAGCTCCGTCCTCAATTCCTCGTACGCCTCGTGTAGTCGAGCTGTTCTCGCGAGCGTAGCCTCTGGGGTTTCAGCTGGGGGGCGGGGGTTAGAGGGCTCTGAGGAACCCACTATAGGGTTGTAAAGAGATTCGAATTCCTGGACCATACGGGCCTGGTAAGTGAGGATGGCCGTCCAGGCATCGCGCCATGCTTTGCTCGAGTCGATTACCTATATCCACAATCCAATTGTCAGAGCTTCTCGTTCCCTTTCTATTCCTTTTTCCACATTATGTTATATCCCGGGTTGCCTTTCCCCTTCCGCCTTTTATATTTGTAGGTTTATTTTATTTCCCTGCTAACTTCCACCCATCGAGCCCAAAAATAAGATATAGGAGAAGGAAAGATTTTCGCATACCCTTGCCAGCAGCTTGTCGGCATCGTCAAAATCCTTCAGCAAGACAGAGACCTGGCTGTCGTCCGCAGACCGCTTCATAAACTTCCCGAACTGCCTGTGTACCGTATTCATGGTGGCTGGGTTTGGTGGAGCCGTAGATCGGTGGTCGCGGGAGTCAATTTAGGAGGGGGGTCACGAGAGGGAGATTGTCTCAGCGGAGGTGGAGGGAGCGGGTGTCGCCAAAAAGGAGCATGGATAAAGACGGTAAGCCTAGTTAGAGGATGCTAAGGATGAGTCTGAGCGGGGAGTCAGAGGATATGGAGAAGTTGAAGAAGAAAAATGGAAGAAGAAAAAGAGGGGAGCAGTTGAAGAGTGGAAGGAGAAGAGGAAGAAGATCTTGAAGGAAGCGGGTGCAACAACAGGCTGCGTCACCAATTGCAGATCCCTGCAGCTGAGTCTGTTTCAGCGCAGAAGGTAGAGAGACACAAGAGAAGAGACAGAGATAGAAAACGACAGCGAGTTGACTGGACACAAGCAGAAAACAGGAGAGGGAGCGGGAAAGTGATTGACAAAAGAGAGGGGATAATAGGGAGAAATGTACGGAGTAAAGTAACTAGTTGAGCAGTAAAAATAGAACCACCAACTATTTAGCCTGACAAGAGGATTCAGTACCCAGACACACAGCCCAGCAGCAGCAGCTCGCTTTGATCAATCAATCATTCAAGCAAGCAGTTAAACGATAGTTAATCAAGCAATCACCAAGCAATCAAGCAAGCAGACAAGAGATCTTGGCGAGGGCTGGCTGGCGATCAGCGGGACACTCGTTTGGCTGGGCAGAATGATGGGCGGGATGAGGAAGTATGTAACAGTAATCAACCATGAAACGCTCGTTTCCACCTAACGCTCGCCTTTGTAAATCAATTACAATCAACTTTAAATGTTAATATCTCAATAAATATTCATTATTTTAATTTTTTAATTTGTAATCTATAAATATCAAGACTTACAGTATAAAATTATTCAAAATTATTATAATATAGTTAAAATTGATTAAAATATAGATTCAATTATAAAATAAAATACAGTAAAATAAAATATATAATATTTTATTATAAACTAAGAAATATATATAATCTATAAAATATTTAATTTTTATATAAAAATAATTTATATTTATAAATATATATATATTTTTATAATAAGTCTATGCTGAAAAGATTAGTATTAGATATAAAACTTATATAATAAAAATAGAAAATATTAAAGAAGAAAGAGAAAGTATGAGAATTAGTAATTAAACTAGATATTTATATATGTATAAGATAAAGCTTCAGAGTAGAAGAATAAAAGCTCTATAAGTTTCTTAACTAAGAATTAGTAACTGAGAATTAAAGCTTTTAAAAGAAATCTATAAAGTGTCAGATTCTCTTCACAGACTGACTACTTCTGTCTAAGCAAGATGTTCATCAATTACTTGATAAACGTCTATTATGTATAAAAGATCACATAATAGATAGATCTTGATAATCAATCAACTACTCTATAATATCACCTTTATCAGATTATGTCTCTTTTATATATAAGAATCTGCTAATTCTTTAAAAATCAAATTCTTACACTTCATACTTTTAAATTAAAGATCTAATTATATTCTGAAATACTGTATTAGTGATTCTGCAGCTACTTATTATAAATCAAATTAAAAAGAACTCTGTTAATTTTAAAATAAATCAAGCTGTTATAAACTTCTATAATAAGTCTGTAAGCAACTTCTACATTCTCACATGAATAGAAATGTAGATAGTGAATATACCTCTGTAAGTAACTTTATTATTAAAGATAATATTATCTTATCTGAATCTATACTGATTACTAGAAGTAAGAGATATTTGACACAGTTAATATGTATATATAATATCTCTGAACAAGAGTCACTTGAGCTGCAATTGCCATCTTAAACAGCTCAGAAAGTTTGAATTAAAATAAATACAGAGTATGACACAAGTTCAAGAAAAGAAGAAGATTTTCTCTTAATAGAATACTCTACACTCACTCAAGATAGTCTGAACTAAAATAGTCTTAATTAAGATAGCTCTGCTGATAAGATTACTGAAATGATAATATGCTTTACTTATTTATAAGAGACAGAGTTCTAGAAGCTAATGTGATAAAATCACCTGTAAGTAATAATGATAAAAGAAGAGAATAAATCTCAATCTCATTACAGCTGTAAATTCAGTCACTGAAACAGATAAGTTTTATGAATTCAAGAATAACTATAGCTATATCGAAATGAAAATTACTACAAAGCTCTCAGAGTTGAAAGACTATAACGTCTGACACTGTAAAATTAAATCAAAAGTAATTTTGATTGATGCATCTTTTATTCTTACTGATAAAGAGTTTTCTCTGATACTTATAGATAATGATTTAAAGATCTGATGATATAAAGAAAGCTGATTATAGAAGTGTATATAAAACTCAATGAAAACAGAGCTGCAGATACTTATTCAATTAAAACTGAATTAAGTTAATAATTACAGTGTTATTAAGATGAGACACTCTGCTGCATTATAACAGACAGTTGAATTAAAATATCAGATGTATTGAGCAGATCTTCAATTCAAATTATATAATGAAGTCATTACTATAATAATCACTGATTATAATAATAATATTACACTATATGCAAAGCACTGATAGATGATAATAAATGAATTTAATACATATAACTGATCAATATTCAAAGACTTTCTCACTCAATAATTTATATATAATCTGAAGACTTATGTATAAACATTTATTTAAATCTATTTTAAGAATCTATATTAAGAAGTTTCAAAGACATCTGTTTCTAAGATCAGTCTTGATAATCTTATTAATAATCTCATTTACTACAAGACAGTTGTCAGATCAAGTGATAATAAAAAGAAAATATCAGTGAAAGAAGCTGAAAAGAAAAAGGAAAAAAATAAGAATGCTGAAAAGTCTGAGAAACAGCAGTCTATAGATAATTAAAGAGAAAACACTCTCTATATTTAATGAGAAGACATGTTTGACTCAGATCTCAAATGTAAATACTGCAGTTACTAAGATCACACTGAGACAGTCTACTACTACAAGAATTAAAAGACTTAATTATAGAAATGACAAAATATCAATCACTTCAGTATTGAATATTACACACAAAAGCATATAATCTCTGAGAAAAAAGTGAAGAATGACAGCTTTGCAGAGACTGTAAAAGACCTGTTTATAATAAATGAAAAGACTCTGTTAATAATCTGTAGAGACTCTCTATAATATCTAGACACTGCAGTCTTCTACACTATGTCATTTAACAAGAGTGTTTTCAAGTATATACATACTTTCATTGATGAGAAAGATCTCGGTTCTGCAGAAGAAATAAACAGTAAGTTACTTACTTCTACAGATACAAGACAAGCTTGTATTCACATTAATGAAATAAAACTTAATCTTCTCAATGTTTACTACACACTGAGAGTATTTTGCAATCTCTTAAGCTTCAGTCAGCTTATTAATAAAGGATTTGAATTTGAACTTCTTCATGATAAGAACTGCTAAATAATTGAATTTGAAATAATTGATGAAAATGATTAAAGATTCTACACAGTGATAACTAATTACTACATTTATCTTATTCATAGTATTCAAGAGACTGCTCTTGCTGCAGTTGTAAAGACTGTTTGAAATTACATATTCTTCTCTGTAATATACATTATATTAAACATCATTATATTCACAATACTACTGCTGCAGATGTTGTCAAAATCATATAAATAGACATTACTGACATGACTGTAAATGCTCTAATAAAAGCTCTGAAAATATTTTGATAGATACAGAGTCTTAACAGTCTGCTACTTCTATAGTAGTTCATTCATTTATTTTACTGTTTCTTTATTTTCTTATTCTTCAAATTCTTGTTAGTTCTCCGTAAAATCTTTGACAGAAGATACTACTATTTTTTATATGTAATATTTCTTCTTCAGTTATAGAATGACTCTGCTGAGTTGTAAATATCTGCTCAGCAGAGCAGTAGCTAAGAGAGGTGTCAGATTTCCTCTACAGACTGACTACTTCTGCCTAAGTGAGATGTTCATCAATTGCTTAGTGAATATCTATCACATATAAAAGATCACATAATAGATAGATCTTGATAACTAATTAACTACTCTATTATATCATCTTCATTATAAAGTGTAATAAAATAATTTATTAATTAGATATAGCTTACTGCTCTGATAGCTGAATAATTAATATAATTATCTAATAGCATCTTAGCATGGAAAATCAAGACATGTGAGTTTAAAACCCGCAGAGAATATATTAAATTCAGAACTTAAGTATCTTAGATTTCTAATAAATACAGAGATGTATAAATTACTTTAATAAATCACTTTATATTTCTGAGATAAGAAGTTATTATTATATGTATTTAATTATCACTTCTTTGTATTTTCTATATTCTTTTTATTTTGATATAGTCTTAACATCTGTATTTTCTTCTATATAATTAACACTTGATCTGTATTTAATATTATATAAGAACTTATTATAAGCTCTGCTTGTATATAAGTATAATAAAAGAATAATAATAATAATAATAATAATAATAATAATAATAGAATATAGCTTACTGTAAGAGGTCTACGCTGAATAGATCAGTATAATATTGATAGGTCTTATATAACAAAGATAAAAATGTTAGAGAAGAAAAGAAAGAGAAAGTGTGAGAATCAGTGATTGAGATGAATATTTATACGCGTATGTGATGATGTATATGATGGAGCTTCGGGGTGGAAGAATATACGCATGTTCATAGCAGCTGAGAATCAGTGATTGAGAATGACTGAGAATCAGAGTGTATGTATTTGAGAATGAAGTGATTGAAATCTGTGAAGTGTAATGAAATAGTCTATATAATTAATCAGATACAGTCTGTCACATTAATTCTCTCTTTCAGAAGCAGTTCTCATCAGTCAAGAGCTGCTGTTTTAGATAATACAGAGCTCAGAGTTCAGATCAGTTGATTATAGCTGACTTATTTTACAAGATATTATCAGCTGCAGTCACAGAGTCTCTTATCAAGAATATTCTCAATCTCTCACTCAAGCTCATTATCTTCTTCTATGATGTCTGATAACTGTCAGTCAGAAGTCAGTTGAAAAGAGAATAAATTAGTAACAGTATAACAGAGTAAGCTTGTATAAAATACATCATGAATTTCTGATGATATGTTAAGATGATAGTTATAACTATCTAGAACTTCTATCACTTTATACTTAATATAATGATAATCTAGTATACAAGATGAATATATGATTCATATATTCTTAAGATTTAATCATATCAGATCTTCTATCTTATATTGTTTAGCAGAGTCTCAGTGAACATTGATTTGATTCTCTTAATCTTGTCTCACAGTTATTATAAAGATCTTTACTTAATCACAGACATCTCAGAGCTTTATTACTATATTATCAGTAATCTGAATCAGAATACAGAGGTCTGATATGAACTGTGTAATCTCTAGAAGATTTAACACTTTCATGTAGTATCTATATATAAGAAAGAACAGACTTATATCTATTAAAATAACATTTTAACTGTTAATAGTAATCTCTGTATGTAGAAGAAGATTATGTTAATTGTCTTATAAGTGATTACAGAACTTATAAAGATAATTCTTTATAGTCTGAATTATCTATTCTGACATATTATCAGTCTCAGAATGATAGACAGTTGATAGATAGTATATAATCTTGAGAACTTGACAGATTCTTGTTCAGAGAGTGCTTATAAATTAACAGTCTTAATCTGATACTATAGATCTCAGTAATTCATATATCTGAT